GAAAAAAATGAAAACGAGTAAGGATTTTAAGTCACTAGGCTTAAAATCTTAGCAATTCCTTGTGTTGCAGTTTAATGAATAGTTTCATAGCTGCTAAAATATGTGGATGACTTTTTTTTTTATTCCTGAAGCTATCAAAAAGGAAGGACCAAAAAATTTGTGTAAAATTAGTGGTGTAATGAAGGTCCTTCAGGCTGTCATCATTTTGCTTAATTTTTCCACACTTTTTCTTTCCAAGGGAAAGCAATGTTTTTTTTAAAAAAATTAAAACTGCTTTCTAGCCTTTCATTGATTTCTACCAAAGGAAGGTAAGTGAGTTTAGCTAAATGGAAACAGAAAGTTTCCTTGACTTACAACTGAAATTGGGATCAACATTTTGGTTGTAAGTTATGACAGTCATAAATCAAGGTATCCATGTGTGTGGTCCTGATTTTATGGCAGTCATTAGGTAAATCATGTGGTTGTTAAGTGAATCACATTGTAAGCTGTAAGTCAGTTCTCCCTTTTGCCGGAAATGAGCAAAAACCATCTCAAATCATGACCGTGGGACATTGCAACCACTCATAAATGCGACCCAGTTGCCAAGCACCTTACATGTGGTTATGTGACCATGGGAGAGGGTGATGTAACATGAAAGCCATAAAGCACCCTTTCCAAGGGTATAATAATTCCAAACTATAATTAAACAACTGGTTGTAAGTCAAGATCATGTAGAAACAATCCATGAGAAAATGATCACTGCAGTTAAACAATAAAGAGGAATAAGCTACTACCTAAAGCAGGGGTGTCAAACGCACATTGTCACAGCAGCGTTACGTGACCTAGCGAGACTTCCCCCCCCCCTTCGCTAAACCGAGCATGAGCGTGGCCAGTGCATGACATATCCGGCCCGCAGGCTGGGAGTTTGACAGCCTTGGCTTAAAGAATCTGATTATTCAAAATATTCAAACACTAAAAAAATCTCAAAAATGACTGTTCCTCTTGGGGAGGTCTGGATTGTGGATTTAAAAAATTCATTTTATTCAAGTAAAATTGTTGCAATAACCAGTTTAGCTGTTATTACAGTTGTAATAGCTAGTATAGCTGTTGTAAGCAACTAGTACAGCTGTTTCTACATGCTTCTTAATAGCTACTTAATGCCTTTTTCTCCCAGAAAAAGAAGTATTGATGTCACTCTTTCCCTGTCTTAAGGTCTCCATGAAGACCAGTGACCAACAAGAAGCAATGGGTGGAAACTAATTAAGGAGAGAAGCAATTTAGGAGAAATTTCCTGACAGTTAGAGCAATGAATCAGTGGAACAACTGGCCTCCAGAAGTTGTGAATGCTCCAACACTAGAATTTTTTTAAGATGTTGGATAACCATTTGTCTGAAGTGGTGTAGGGTTTCCTGCCTAGGCAGGAAATTGGACTAGAAGACCTCCAAGGTCCCTTCCAACTCTGTTATTCTATTCTATATCTGGTCAAACAGAGAAGTTTTGCAGATAGCATGAGAAGGTATAAAGAGCAGAGAAAGGGAAGTAAGGTTATATAAAGATACTTCCCTTTTCTTTGAGAGAACTTGGGAAAAGCTTGGGAGAAGAACATTCCAAATAAGCAGAAAGGAGGAGTGAACAGGTGTGTTCAGGAGCAGCAGGTGTGAAGAGTGTTGAAGTTTGTATTTGATTTCAAATAAGTAGGCAAAATGTGGGTTGCAGAATTATGCTGTAGCATTACTCATTTTTATTCAGTCAATAAAACACAAAAATCTGCTCTAAGAATGTGTCTAAATTAAATTAAATATCTATAAGTTAGTCGAGGAATAGCTAGAGATAGTTAAAGTTAAAACTTAATTTAACAGATATTTGAGGCATGCTTGTATAACACTTGCACACACAAGACCTAAACTAAGATAATAATATTAGCAATTATCCAGCTCTATAAATGCCTCCAGACGTACTTACAAATTTCAAAAAGCAATTACTCTCAAAGCATTAAACATACCTATTATATTATAAAATATAATTCGATGCTGTTTATCCAGCTATCTAAAGTGGCACAGAAGCCAAAATTACGCTCCTGAAAAACATGAGGAAAGCCATTTCATTAGAAGAATACTTGTTCAACCTCTTTACTCCAAGGTGCAAAACATTCGGCTGTACAGAACATTCTAAGAGGTTTTCCACTTCAAAAAGTATGTTGGTGCTAAGGAAGCCCCCGCTCTTAAATCATTGAGACAGCCATGTCCTTCGGAAGGCTTGCTCTGGCTACTTCAAAGCCTTTTGCAAGTGGTCACCTCACCTGTGGCACAGCCACTTCTCCACCCGGTAAATTTAGTTATTTTCAAGTTTGCATACTACCCTAATCAAGGAATTAGTTAACATAATATAAAATATCAAATTCACAACAATAAAGCACCTATAGTAAATGTAAAGGTTCCTCTCGCACATATGTGCTAGTCGTTCCTGACTCTAGGGGGCAGTGCTCATCTCCGTTTCAAAGCCGAAGAGCTAGTGCTATCCGAAGATGTCTCCGTGGTCATGTGACTGGCATGACTAAACGCCGAAGGCGCACAGAAAGCTGTTACCTTCCCACCAAAGGTGGTTCCTATTTTTCCACTTGCATTTTTTATGTGCTTTCGAACTTTTTAGGTTGGCAGAAGCTGGGACAAGTAACGGGAGCTCACACCATTACGCGGCGGTAGGGGCCTGAACTGCCAACCTTTCTGATCCACAAGCTCAGTATCTTAGCCACTGAGCCACCATGCGCCTTTAAAAGCAGGGGAATGTTTTGAACTTTCCATGATTCTCTGTTATAGGGAGGAAATTTTTTGCGATTCACTATTAGTTCATTCTCTCTCAAGTCAACCTAGTTGGTTGTAGTGGGGGGAAATAGAAGAGGAGAACACTATATGCTTTGCTCTGAATTCCTAAATGAAAGGCAGGATATAAATCTAGCAATACTCAATAAAGAGCAGTGGAATTGGTGTTCCAATTTTGATTATACTTTCTGGAAAAGAAGTGGCATTGTGGAGCACCAATGGATTGTTTTCTAAAATACCTTTCATGATGAAATATTATTGTCAAGTAAGAACAGTTCTTTATTTATACGTGTACTCAATTTCTTCCAGTGCTTGCAACATCTCACAATATAAAAGCAGAAAATGTTTTTTAATCCATTTTTATTGAGTCATAAAAATCAGAAATTGTACATCTGATCAATAAAAATAATAACACCATATGCACAAGCAAATATTTCATCTACAGGTAGTCCTCAATTTATGACCACCATTTGAACCACTATTTCCAGTGCTAAACAAGGCAGTTGTTAAGCGAATCACATGGTGGGTAAGCAAACCTGGCTTCCCTCATTGACTTGGTTGTCAGAAGTCGCAAATGATAATCACATGATCCTGGGACGCTGCAACCATCATAAATGCACACCATTTGCCAAATGTGTCAGAATTTGTTGCATAAATTCAAACCCAGAAGGACACACAGATAACTGATGCAGCAGGATTCATTAACTTCTTTATATACATAAGAATAGATAAATAAATGTACAATACCAACGGGTGGTTCTTCCAAGTAAACACAAGGCATGAAAGTTACAGACAAACATAAGCAGTTAGCTTCATTTCAGCAGACAACCCCAGACAGACTGCTAGTTTACTTCTCACAGCAGCAGACTGCGTAAGTTTCTGTTTCAATTTCTGCACACACTCAGATCTGTTGAAGCTCCCATTGGCTGACTTAGTTGCTATGCCTATTCATTGGCTGACCTTGTTTCCATATCTCTCCCAGTCATGAATATTTTTAACAAAATGTCTTCATTTGATCATGTGATATGGGCAGTAGTGATTTTCCAAATTTTTTACTACTGGTTTGCTCATGCGCTCATACATGCGTGCAACACTTATGCGCATGCGCATACGTGTCCAGGCGGGTGGGCAGAGCCGGAAGCAACCCACCTCTGGATGGAGGGATACTGAGATGGTAAGTGCGAGGACTGGTCATAACTCACTTTTTTCAGTGCTGTTATAACTTTGATCTCTAAACAAATAGTTGTAAGTCAGAGATTACCTGTATTTGATTCTAAATGCTTCTAAATAAACCTATCTCTTTTTTCACTGTGCTATTACTTGTTCCAGCTGAACTTACAAAGACTGGCTAGACTAGATTTCCGGAACTCAGACTGTTTCTGCCTTAGGAAACTTTTATCAATGATTTCCTTGTGAAAATGAATGGTTAGAGATAATGCATTCTTGGAAAGCCAATTACTGTAATGTTTTGATCCAGCCTCAAATCCCATTGAAGTTACTAACTGAACAAACAAACAAACAAACACCTTCTCAAGCTTGTCTTCAGGATTGCTATAAAAGAGAGCAGGGAGAATAAATACATTGCCCTCTTTTGGATAATGTGGTTGTGGTACTAACAGAAAAAAAAATGGCTCTGTGGCAAGGACTAAGAAGCTCTAAGAGACAGACCACAGTTACAGGGCTGTGTGGGGCTGGGGTCCACCAGATCTGGAGTAGATGACACAGAGAGTTAGTTTTCTGCCTCTCTAAGTTGCCGTCATCTGCATAATACAGTCAATTTATGGTAGGCCGAGAGAAGTCATTGCATTGTCATTGCTGTAAAAAAATAAAATATGCTTCTGGTAGGTAACGTCCTAAATTAGTGTAAGAAAGTATGCTGTTGGGTTAGACTAAAGGAGCTTGCTCTGTTGAATTTTGCAATTCTACATGTCAGCATCTGTGACTTCATTTTAATAGCCTGGTATTTCTGGAGTTTCCGCCATCCAGGTGGAAGGAGATGTTGTGAGATACGGACTGTGCCCTCTGTTATAATGTTTTATTTTCCATATGCCTTTGTTTTCATTTTGTGTCTTTAATTCCCACCGTGAAAGATAGTCCTATATGTAAGCTGAGTTCCTTATTTCTTTTTCTTTTGATTGTCCCTGGCTGCATGTTCTCTGTTGATGTCTTGTTCCTGGTACTTGACCATCTTGTCTGTGAAAGGAAACACTCCAGCCGATAAGAAGAAAGGAAGGTTTGCTTGGTTTAGTCACTCCACAGAAACTCATGGTAACGTTCCAATGTCCTCTGTGTTGATCCTCTCTGTATACGTGTGTGTTTCTCTGTTGTAGTAGCTGTGCAGTCTTTTGGTGCATGTGTCTGTTTCTGTTGCTTTTGCAACGTCATGCTCTTGTGTTCAAAAGTGGAGATCTTCATTTACGATCCATATTTTGTTGGCATCTTCAGAATTGCATTGAAGATGATCAAGGTCATTTAAGCACCTGGAGACATTTCATCTGATGAATACTTCAGGATAATTCTATTCTGTATATCATATGCTCTGCTGGTTTTATTCAGCTTCTGAATGCAATATGACAATGATTATTGTAACTCAGCTATGATCAGTAAAGGCTGGTGCTTTTTGAGGATGGTGGGGTAAAATGCTGGGCAGCTAATGACAAACAAATCCATGTTTAGTGAACCAGGTTTTTAAATTGTAGAGCAAACAATTTAAAATTTACAATTTGGAGCAAATTGTAGGCCAAGCCAGAATCACAGTAGGTACTTTCAATGTCAGGTGCGATTAGACATTCAAATAAGCAGATACGTTTTTGGAGGCAAGTAATTTCAATACCATGATTGCAAAGGTAAGAGTTGGGAAGCTCTTCTTAAAATTGTTTTGTATATACAGTACAAATACAGATTAGAGGCATCATCCTTGGACATTCCAGTTGATTGATTAGCTGGGTCCCAATTGGCTCTGGGTAACTGATCAAGATCTTGTACATGCACTGAAGATATCAAGATGGCCGCCACTGTTGCTTAGAGAATGGAGAGGTTGGGGCACAAAATACAGAGGAAAGAGAACAAATGTGCACATTAATTAGCCTGCCCGGTCACTCCCAGAGTCATAGGAATGAAGTACGAGGGGAGGGAGGCTAATGTGAGGCAATGATATCTCTACAAGTACCATGCTTTCTTGGTTATAGTCCCTACTCTTTCATATCTTAAAACGTAAACTTAAACTTAAAATCTTTCCGCCAAAATATCTCATTCCCAACAGAGTGGAAGCAAATATCTGCTTTTTCTGAGAAGAACCTGTATGTGTTTACAGGAATTCTTTTACTGCATTTAGCATTGTGGAAAATTTTAAGGATGTTTTAAATTTTTATTTAAAAATGATACTGTTGACAATGTTTTTATACTGCTGTAAATAAGTAAGAACCAATGAGGGCTACAGCATCATTTGCCAGTCTGGCAACAGCCTTCCATGACCTCAAACGTAAATGCACATCCAAAGAAAGATGATTTTCCTCTTTTGTGTAGTTGTTTCCTTTGTTTCCAATTTATTTATTTAATTAATTAGATTAATGTATTGTTGATCGTACTTGATTGATTGATTTGATTTGATTTATTTGGCTTGTATGCCGCCCTATTCCAGAAGACTCAGGGCGGCTAACAATCAAAAGGGGAGGGGGTATAAAAATAAAAATAGAAAACAGGAATTTAAAATACAACAAAAATCATAACCTCGGAGGGGGCTGGATAGTTCAACAGCCCCAGGCCTGCCGGAACAGCCAGGTCTTAGTTGCTTTGCGGAAGGCCGGAAGGGTGGTAAGGGTCCAGATCTCAACGGGGAGATCATTCCAGAGGGCCAGAGCAGCCACAGAGAAGGCCCTCCCCCGGGGAGTCGCCAACCAACATTGGCCGGCAGATGGAATTCGGAGGATGCCTAGTCTGTGGGATCTAATAGGTCTTTGGGAGGTAATTGGCAGGAGACGGTCTCTCACGTAACCAGGTCCGATACCATGTAGGGCTTTAAAAGTAACGACT